GCATGTGGCTTTAGGTGGAATAAATGGAAAGGTTGTAGTGGTACATTCAACAACTAAGTAATTAAATGTTAATTCTTAAGATTAAGGTTAAAATGGGTAACTTCTGTGCAATTTTTAATGCGTACTTTTTTGTCAAATTTTGGGTACTATAATGATGCACGACCGCTTTGATTCATATGAAGAACAAAATGGTTCAATTATATTGCATATTTATCATCAATTAATATGAAAATTTCTAGAGTAAGCTCCTAATATCTTTCTCTTACTGATATAAATCATTTTAGATAGCTTTGATTACAATTCCAATCCTTCTAAATTGCTGCTCAGATACTATCCAATGATGCCCTAAGATCTAATAGATAGATTGCAAATCCTAAATCTATATTTTAACTTATCAACCAACAACACAAACAACCGGAGTTATACAATCTAAATAATAAATCAGCCTTGTTCCGCCTATTGCTACAGGAACAAAACAACGATTTTTGCTGCAGGAAATATCCGAATTTTCGCACTCAGAAGACTTGTGTGAAACTGCTCTACCGTCCAGAATACACATTGTCGAACTGATCTACAGTACCCGCGGCACTGTAGCGAACTGTGCTATAGTAATTTCTGCACTGGCGATTGCTGCTGCAGGAAAAACTGCAAAACTGCACAGCCAAACCTTCCTTTTTCCAACTGCTTGTATTGTCTATATGTAAGATTCCTTATCAAAGGAAGGAGGAGAATGGGGCCCACTAGTAACTGATTTCCAAACAATTTTTATAAGCATCTATTCGGAAAAAATTGCTTAATTAGTTATTTAATTTAATATTACTTATATTTATTTAACAATAATTGATAATACAAATCAATAAAAATCATTTCAAATGTATTTATTTCATTACCTAATTTAGGATGTTATAAGCTAGTCGTTATTATTGTTAAAAAATGTGATATTAATGTGTAATAAGTAAAATATTGATTTCACTGATATTGGTTGGAAATTGATTGTCCTATACAGGATGGTGGACTGACAAACTTTCTTTTAAATATATTGTTTGGTGTTATCCTCGACTGATTCACTCTATGCTAATTGATAGTTATAAGAAATTATTACTATGTCAAAGGGCAAAGAGTGACGACTCTATATACTAAGGCAAATATTACTGGCCACAGATTTCTAATACTAGAAAGCAGTTCTTAAGTCACAAATTCTTATTTGATTAAGATGATTTCTGAAATGTATGTTACTGATTCATTATTAATATACGGCCTTACTGTTCACTGTACGGATTTGTTATTACTACTGTGGGTTTATCGATATCGATACTATTATCGATAACACTACTGTGGACTAACAACCTTTCTTCTCAACTTATCTTATTATAGAGAGAAGATAGAGGTTAGAAGATCGAGACGAAGTTGTAGAAGGAGAAGACGAAGAGACATAGCTCGCAAGCTATCCAGAAAACTCTAAGGTTTTAGCTTTAAAAAATTACCACATTTTTCATCTCCAAACAGCCACAAAATAGCCCATAATTATAGTAGAAGATAGGGAGCCAAACAGCTGCCCAGGGAACCAATCAGTAAAGGGAGGCAGAAGGCCAAAAGGTAGCCAAAGGGAGCAGCACCCGAAATGCTAGCAGGACACAGCCAACGAACAGCCAACGCCAGGGGGAAGGAACCGCCCAGGCAGAGGAATCAAAAGGCCAAATAGAGGGGGAAGAACCTTGCCAAGTAGAGGAATCAAAGGGCCACATGTGGGATGAACCATCCCTCATATTATTATAACAAATTATAATTAATAATTAGTAATTATATTATCTTTAATTAATTATAATTAAATATAATTAACTAGAGTAATTAATTATTATTGTTATAATTAATTATATTTAACTTTAATTAATTATATTTAATTAATATTAATTAATCTTTAATAATTAATTATAATTAAAAAATTAATTATAAATGATTAAGATTAACATTAATTATAATTAATTAAGATTAACTTTAATTAAAATTAATTAAATTAATTATAATCATTTAATTGAAATTAACTATAATTAATTAAAATATTTGTAATTATATTTAATTAATTAATCTCTCTCCCCCTACATTCTCTGGTTCGACAAAGTTACAGGATTTGGCCGAAGCAGCGCGCGATAGGGAAGAAAGTTTCCTTCATAGCAAGCGGGTTCTCGTGGTTACTTCCGATCGAAATGTTGTGACTTCCAACCCGCAGGAAGGGAACGTCGCTGGAGGAGCGAAGTTGAACAACTGCAAAGGAGCCGGAGAGGCGCTCAACCTGGAGAAAGTTTCCTTCACAGTGAGCGAGCATCGCTTGTTTATTCCAATCGAAATGCCGCCATTTCCGTTCTGACAGGAAGGGAAAGTCATAGAATGGGCGAAGTCGAACAACAATGGAGGTTGTGGAGATTTGTTCCTTCGCAACAAGCATGCCCTAGTTGTCGTCGTTTCTTTCGATCGGAATGTTTGACTTCCGATCCGGCAGGAATGGTAGGAACGTCGTTGAAGAGGGAGTCCAACCTATGTGGTTAGTTCGGTAAGATGATTGAGAGAGAAGGCCGTATGGGCTTTGCGAGAGTTTTGGAGGTAACGACGGGAGTTTAGTGTGGTAGCTTGGTAGAACGAAGGGAAGAGATAGGATTTGTGTGGGTTTCGGCTATGAGAGGAATAAGCATCCCTGAAGGCTTTTTTTGGCCTCCTTTTAATGCAAGCTGGAGCCGAGTCCGGACAAAGCTCGCGGAGATAGGACATAAGGTAGGCGCCGTTGCAGAGGTATGGGCGACACTGTGGCAAGCGGCTAGAGAAGTGATTTGAGTAGGATTTAGTTATAGTGAGTAATCATTTTATGCTATTTTTATTTCCTCTTTTTGTTTTAACCGCAGTGGTCAACAAATATGTTCATATATTTTGCCATACATGTAATTTTCAACATATTGAAAGAGACATTAATTCATCAAAATGCCTTCTATTTTAGATTGACCCCATATAGAGAGTCATTTCGGCATTCAAAAATTTCAAATGCCTATTACTTGAAGCTTCATGTTGATGGTAAACAATTTCTCTTTCCCACTCATCAAGTTCTCAAGGAACCGAAATATTAATTTAGAATAATAGTGAGTAATTATCATAACATAGTTATTAGAGTTCTAATCTTGTTAATATAAAAGAAAAAGTAATAACATGCTTGGTAGTCATCTTAGTGAATTATAAATAGTTTTTTAACATTTGGATACAACAATGATTGGAAAATTGTCTTAAAATTTAAAATTTTGAAGTGGTGTACATAGGATCATAACATTCATTTGTTTTATAGCTTATCATTATTTATCCTATACTTTTTCTGTGTAATAATACATTTTCTCATGGCCTTCGCTATTCACCCCTAGCCAACGTTTTATCTGTCCACCCAGTTAGATATAGAATATGTCCACTATTTTTTTAGGGGGAAGGCGCGAACTTATCATTGCCGATACCTCCTTTATTGGTAGAACGGGGCTTAAGTCTTCTTTCTATGATTTTTTGAGGTGGAACGCAAGATTATCAACATACGGTTACATTAGTGTCCCTTTCTAGTAACCTGAGGAGTGAATTTCATCTGTCAACATGAACTTGTATTCATTCATATATAATATTTTCTTGCATTCTTCTTATCATGTAATTATCTTAAGTGTTAAAACTGAGAATTTGAGAGGGAAAAGCTTTTCTTTATTCATTACAATCTTCCCTATTTATAGATATATACAGGATATCCTAATTAGGAAGAAATAAATTGCAGATTTAATACACAAATAAGAAAATAAAATCTTTCCTAAATTCGTTCCCTCATTATGGCGTGATCCATGAGAGTATCCCACGGATTGATCTTTGCGTCCGTCGGATCCTTTGTACTAGGAACGACTGGATTTCAACATTAAGTAATAATCTTTCGATACATTTCAGGAAATAATCATTGGAGCTTTAATTATGAGGACTACGTAACATTCACGTCAATATGATGATTCCTTGTAGGAGAAACAAGAAAGAGAAAAATAAATTGAAAAAAATTTCAATAACGATCTTGTACCAATATTTATATCATTCAGTGTATATAAGGATTTATAACAATCGGTTCATAAACTTTAGAAGAACTAATTTTTTTAATATTGAATTAAAGTTTAGTTACCCGCCTTAACCTTGGAAACTTTGATATTTGGCCCTTTTCCTTCTTAGATTGTCTCATTTAAGTTGATGCCTATAGATCACATTCACATCTACTACTTATATACATATATTTTTTTCCTATAGTTTTATCACATTGTTTAATAGAATTTCTCTTTTATTTTTATTCAAATACCTAATCTTAATTAATGTGTGCCAACTTTTTATTTTATATTTAACTTGTTATTTTAATTAAAAACCTTATAGCTTTTATTTCCAAGGTACATAACAGTGACCTTTCCTTCATTCTCCTCTCTTAAATTGTAATCAATTAATTTATATTCTTATTCAAGTTCAAGTTGCTATGAGCCATTCTTCAATAATTCATATATCATTACAATTATATTATTAAATCCCCAGTTATATATGTATATGTGTGTGTATTCTTTGTTTAGCATGCACAATTTTAAGTTTTTACTCTACTTCAACAAAACAAGAATTGTGGGTTTGCGTTTTCTTTTTTTTTTAATGTTGGGTTTGGTTTTCTTGATTTTTCTTGCTTAATAATAGTACCATTTGTTTTGTATTCTTGGGCATGAGGATGAAGCGATCATGTGATGTTTATTAGAGACAGAACAATGACAGCGAGTTGAAATCGCAGAAAGAAAGGTTTTTTAATTTTATGTAATGTGTTTTATTTCCTTAACATTTCTTTGGAATTTTTGTCATAATTTATGTTTAACGTTTCAATCTACCAAACTTGAAAATGATTTATTATTTCTACCCTTTTCTACGTTAGCATTTCTTCATCAAAAAAAATATTCTCTTTATTCAACTTTTGCTTGTTTCAGGATCCTTCACATACAGTACGGAAGACATTTTTACACAAAGTATATCAACTTTTGAAAGAAAATAAGATCCCATTAAGATATGCTTGTACTTTTACATTGGCTTCTACTGATTTCGTTGGTGATGTTCGGGTGAATGTAAGCTCTATTTCCTTTACTATATATTACTGAAAAACATTTTTGAGGTTATGTGACTGACTGCTTTTTTTGTTATTTATTTCAGTCGATAAAATATCTTGCAGAGGTTATTGACAGGTGTCGTAGAGATTCCTTTAATCAGAACTCTTCTTCTCAAGATGATAGGAGACAAATTGTAAACACTCCTGAATATGTTGTCGTCTTCTTAATCCATATTCTTGCTCATGATCAAGGCTTTCCTTCAGAAAGATTGGAAGACAAAGACTTTTATCCCGAGTTTTGCAAGTACTACTCTTGTATTTGGAAGCTTATTCGTTAAGGGATAATGTTAAAAAGTTTTGAATTAAATTATGAAAACCGGTTTAATAGCTGATGCAACCAAAAAGCTCCCAAAACAAGTACCCTTGGTCACAAAAAGAAACAAAATAAAACTAAACCAAGTCTCCACAACAAATTGGCTGATTTTCTTGCACAATTGGTTCAATATTTTTGTCTTTTTCCATTTTTCTAAACACTTAAAGAAAAGATACGAAAAACCTAGGAATATACTAGGCTCTTATACCAAATTGATGCAACCAAAAAGCTCCCAAAACAAGTAGGAGACTCTTGGTCACAAAATAAAAATAACAATACCACTTATAACATACAAACAACACCTTAAACATTACAATGACATTTACAAACTTATATAATAAAAGTCCTAAACTTGCTTGCAATCATTGAGATGAAAGATACATATGGCGTCGAACTTCCGGAAAGAAGAAAGTGGTAAGAAGCTGAGACGAAGGAGAGGACAAGCTCGCAAGCTTTCCTAAGAGAAGAGAGGAATGGAACAAGCTCGCAAGCTTTTCCATGAAGATCCCTCACTTGCATGTTGAATGGAAGACACTCTACTGCCTTTATATGTAGCGTCTAGGCACCGTAAAAGTGGAATTGACATTAGACCCACCTACCAAAATTAATTATTATTATGAAATGCCTTCTGCGCCCCCAAAGTTGTCTTTGAAAATATATAAGAGATAAATATTGGTTATTTTTCTTGTTCACAAAAGTAGAAATAGCAATTTATAGAATATACAAGGCACCCTAGAACTAGAATAGACATACAAAAAGTAATTACTTTTTGTCACAACCGGCCACACGAGCAACAAAAGAAAATAGGAAAAAAATATTTGCTTAATTAATTTACAATAAAACTTTGGAAATGTAGGACATAAATCCCTTCACATTAGGAATCAAAGGATGGAATTTAGCTTCCTTAGGCATAATTGCCAACATTCTGCACCATTCACTTTATCTGAAAAACAATGTATATTTTTTCACGGTCAAAATTGTTGCTACTAAAGCAAAAGTATCACAGAGGCAAGAGACTAGCTTTAATTCAAAGGAGTAATACTATTGGGTCTTGTATCTATGAGAAACCTCGAATTAGATCCTTAATTCATCTAATTAAGAATTCAATCTTTCTTCCTAAAAATTAATTCAGAATCTGTCGAATATTAATATCGCAAGGTGGGGATTTTTATGGCCAACAATTTACTGCATAGCAAGCAGCATTCTATATGGGACATTTTAATAACTTTGAATTAAGACATCAAATGAAGGAATCTTTATGCCATTGACGAAGCTTGGTGTATTTAAACACCCAGATTAGAAAAAAAAAGGTAGAGTTAAATTTATAGATTCTGTTTATCTTCGGATTATGCATTCCTTAAAGTTAAACTTATCTTCTTGATAAAAAATTTTACAATGTACGAACTATATTTATCTGTCAAGTTATATGCTTTGACAAAAAAATTAGGGAAGGTGAGTGATGTGGAGAGAAACTCAGGAATGTTAAAGAAAGTGAAGGGGTATACTTTTGATTTCTAACAAGTTTGGCAGAGTTCTTTTTTATTCTGGTGCATCTCATTCGTTTATATCTGAAGAATTCTGCTCTGATTTATCTATTGAGACTGCATGTTTTACGCCTACCTTATCTGTTATGATGCCAACGGGAGATAGTTTGCCTGCTAATAGGATGTGCCTTATAAATTTGAATATTCAGGGTTACAAATTTCCAACTGAATTGATTATAGTGCCTATTAAAACGTTTGACATCATATTGGGAATGAATTGGTTAGTTAAACATTTCGCTACTATTCAATGTTGGAAGAAAAGAATAAAATTTAATTTACCAAATGTGAAGAACTTTTATTTCCCCGGTGAGAAGAATGCATCTTCCTCTCTTGTGAATGCATTGAAGATGGGCAAATATTTAAGGAGGGGTAAGTTAGTATTCTTAGCAAAAATGGATGTCTTAAATAAAGATGTTCAAGATTTACATAATATTTCAGTTGTCTCTGAATTTTTAGATGTATTTCCTGAAGAGCTACCTGGATTACCACCTGAAAGATAAGTTGAATTTGATATATAATTACAACAAGGAACATCAGCAATTTACAAATCTTCTTATAGGATGGCCCCAAAAGAATTGCAAGAGCTAAAAACTCAGTTACAGGAATTGATGGATAAAGGATTTATCAGGGCTAGTCATTCTCCTTGGAGTGCACCTGTACTTTTTGTTAAGAAGAAAGATGGATCCATGAGAATGTGCATTGACTATAGAGAGCTGAACAAAGTGACAATCAAGAACAAATATCCACTACCGCATAGATGACTTGTTTGATCAATTAGCCGATGCCACGGTATTTTCCAGAATTGATTTAAGGTCATGATATCATCAAGTGAGAGTTAAAGAAGCGGATGTCAGCAAGACGGCTTTTGGGACCAGGTATGGTCATTTTGAGTTTAGAGTTATGCCTTTTGGGTTGACAAATGCTCCTGCCATCTTTATGGATATGATGAATCAGAGTTTTAAAGACTATATAGATAAGTTTGTGATAATTTTCATTAATGACATTTTGGTATACTCAAAGACTGACAAAGAGCATCCTGAACATTTAAGAATAGTTTTGGAGACACTGAGGAAAAATAGATTGTATGCAAAATATTCAAAATGTGAATTTTGGTTGAGAGGTATTTCTTTCTTGGGGCATATTATCAGTGGTGAAGGGATTTCTATAGACCCGTAGAAAGTAAAAGCAATTATAGAATTGCCAACACCAAAGAATATTATAGAGGTTCATAGTTTTCTTGAATTAGTAGGATATTACAGAAGATTTGTTAAAGTTTTTTTACAAATTGCTATGCCTTTGTCCAAACTATTGAGGAAGGAGTTAAAATTTGATTGGACAATTGAATGTTAGAAAAGCTTTCAAGCATTGAAAGAGCATCTGATGACCGCCCCAATTTTAGCACTTCCCTCAGTAATAGAAGGATTTCAGGTTTATAGTAATGCATCTTTGAAGGGATTGGGATGTGTTCTAATGCAGAATAGAAAGGTGATTGCTTATGCATCTCGACAGTTGAAGACCCATGAAAAAAATTATCCCACTCATGATTTGGAGCTGGCTGCAGTGGTATTGGCTTTGAAGATTTGGAGACATTATCTATATTGTGTAAGATGTGAAATTTTCACTGATCATCAGAGTCTAAAATACATATTTTCGCAGAAAGAATTAAATTTGCGACAAAGAAGATGGTTAGAACTCATCAAAGATTATAATTTGGATATCCAATATTGTCCAGGAAAAGCTAATATTGTAGCTGATGCTTTGAGTCGTATGTCTACAGGCATAATAAACTGGATGATTACTCAGGAGGTTCAATTGATCAAGGAAATGAAAAATTTGCAATTGGAGGTTAGAGACTCCAAAAATGTGAAATATTTGCATCAGATGACAGTAAATCCCACTTTAACAGATCGTATCAAAGAAGCTCAAAAGCTCAGCAGTGAATCTTCAAAATTAATAGAGCAGGTCCAATCAGGGAAAAGACCTGATCTTTCTGTTGATGTTGATGGAAGCATTAGGCAGAAATCTCAGTTGCGGGTACCCAGTGATCAGGAGTTGAGAAAAGAAATTTTGCAAGAAGCTCATCATTCTGGCTATGCAATTCATCCGGGTAGTACCAAGATGTATAAAGACTTGAAAGTAATATTCTGGTGGCCAGGTATGAAGAAAGATATTGCTGATTATGTAGCTAAGTGTGAAGCATGTCAAATTGTGAAAGTTGAATATCAAAGACCTAGTGAACTACTGCAATCACTACCTATCCCTGAGTAAAAGTGGGAAAAAATTGCAATGGATTTTGTGATGGGATTTCCCAGATCCAGATAGGGACATGACAGTATTTGGGTTATTATTGATAGATTAACTAAATCAGCTCACTTTTTACCTATTAAGCAAACTGATTCAGTAGACAAATTGGCACGTCTATATGTAAAAGAAATTGTCAGATTACATGGTATTCCAAAAGTCATTGTCTCAGATAGAGATGGTAGATTTACCTCGAGGCTGTGGAAGAATATTCAGGAAAGCTTGAGTACAAATCTACTTTTCAGTACAGTTTTTCATCCTCAGACTGATGGCCAATATGAAAGAACCATTCAGGTATTGGAAGACCTGTGTAGATTATGTGTTTTGAATTTCAAAGGAAGCTGAGAAGATCACATACCATTGATAGAATTTGCCTACAACAACAGTTACAAATCCAGTATACAAATGACACCATATGAAGCACTTTATGGTAGAAAGTGCAGAACCCCCTTAACTTGGGTTGAGGTAGAAGAAAGACAACTAATGGGCCCAGAACTTGTGGAGGAAGCAACAGAGAAAATCAAATTAATTAGAGACAGATTAAAAGCTGCTCAGGATCGCCAACAAAAGTATTATGACCCCAAGCACAGAGCAGTAGAGTTTGAAGTGGATGACTTTGTATTCTTGAAGGTAAGCCTATGAAGGGTACAGCTAGATTTGGTAAGGGAGGCAAATTGAGTCCTAGGTTTATTGGACCTTTTGAAATTGTTGAAAGAATTGGAAAAGTTGCTTATAGACTTACTCTTCCAGCTAACATGTCAGATATACATAACGTTTTTCATGTGTCACTCTAAGGAAATGGGTTATCGATGCCCATCAACGAATCTCACATGATGATATTGAGCTACAGAAGAATCTGACTTATACGGAAGAACCCGAAAGAGTACTAGATTTTGATAGTAAACAGCTCAGAAATCATCAGATTTTTTATGTTAAAAGTAAAATGAAAATATATACCAGAAAAAGAGGCAACATGGGAGAGAGAATAAGATATTAAACTTAAGTTTCCTCAATTATTTGATAACAACTAAGGCACTGAATTTCGTGGACGAAATTTACAAAAAGGAGGGGTGAATTGTAATACTC